GAATGCCGATTCGGCGACGAATGTGTAATCGTAATAGGAGTTGTTTGATTTTCTGGGTGGTTTTGCTTTCTGGGTTCTTAGTGATAAGCTTGGAAAAGAACTCAGAGAATGAGAAGACTTTCCTCAGACAATTCATCGTCCCTGATGAGCGAATGGTATGCATCATCTCCATGTGTTTTCTTGTAGGTCATTTCGTGTTGGGATTTACCTGTAAACCGTTCAAGGGTTTGGAACTGTTGAGCTAGAAAATCATATTGATCAGGAGCATTTCTCATTTGATGTGTATTCACCTATTTCCTTCAAGAACCTAGGTTTCAGTCACCGACATTGTGGTTATGCTTCTGATTCATGTTGTCTGCAAGGTTATAGATGTTTGAGAAATGAGATCAAGTTCATCGCATAAAGCTTATTGTGTGTGTACAATGTCATATAGTCCGAGGATTTCGTATTCTTTGTTAGTCGTGTGATGTTTCTCCCGCTCTTCAAAAGGTGGGTTTCACCAAGAATTTTCTTCCCTTCCATAGCTTTCATTTCGAGATTCTTTTGTTTTCGTAGGGGGTTTCCTATGTTGTTTTGCTAGCGCAGTCAGTGCTTCAATTCTGTAATTTCTTGGGTATGATATCGTGTTTCCTCTGACAGTTGCTGTCACTAGGAGGCTAACATGCTGAATTTCTTTTTATTGTAAATGTTTTGCTTTTACATCTATTTAATCTTCAATGTCATGTTTCAGGTAGAGTCATTACTGACAAATTGCGGGCAAGATGTAGACTGTGTGAAGGAGGCTGTTGAGGAATTCAACTTATGTTTACCGGTAGCAAAAGATAACGTCGAGAAACATATCTTTCTTGATTGCGTCGGGAAAAGCAGAAAGGCTCTTGATGTATTTGGACACAAAGTTGGGTTTGAGATTCATCGTGATAAGTATCTCAAGGTCTCGTTGTCTTTGCCTAGTGCTCCAAGGAGGAATCTTGCCTCTAAGCCTAGCCCCGGCCCTTCCCCATCTCTTGGTACCTTTGCCCCTTCTCCCAAGCATAGTCGGATCCCACCTACTCGTGCAAGAGCACCCTCCCCTTGGAACTCGTTCTTTCCTCCAAAAGTTAATATGAGACCTCCTCCTCCTCCTCCTCCCGCTAAGAAAAACTCTTCTAGCAATTCACGGCCTGGTCCGGGTAAAGGAGGAGATGACAACCATAAAACAGTCATCATTGCGGTTATTGTAACTGCGGTTGTGACATTTATGTTTGCTGCATTGTGCTTCTTGTGTTGTATGAAGGTATTTGGACATCGTTCAGGAGGCAAGCAAAATGATGAGCGGCCTCTTCTCAGTCTAAGCATGAATGATTACTCTGTCGGTAATATTTCCACATTTTCTCATACTCTTCTTATACATGAACCTCTTTTAAGTATAATGTTTTCTAAAACTACATTTGCTTTTTTCAGGCTCCTCACTCAAGTATGGGGGTTCAACTAGAGGTGAAAAGCTTGGTGATAATGAAGCCTTCCATATTTATTCAAACCAATGGAAAAAGCCGGAGAGCAATTTTTTTATGGATTCTGATTCTCTGAAAGAACGAAATCCGAACGATCTGGATATGCCACCTCTAGCTCTGAAACCCCCACCGGGCAGGGTAGGTTCTAATCTTTCAGAGCAGCCTCCTTTGAACCCGCCTCCTGGAAAGGTGGAACCGCTTCCCCCAGAACCACCCACGTTTCTTAAGGTACCTCCTAGTGCATCTGCTCCTCCACCACCAGCTCCTGCCCCTCCACCTCCAAAACCCTCTACGGGTCCCCCACGACCGCCTCCTCTGGCTGCTCCACCCGGGCCTCGGCCTCCTCCTCCCCCAGCCGCTCCGGGACGTAAGGGATCTCGTCCTCCTCCACCATTGGCTCCACCAGGACTGAAAGCTCCCAGACCGGCTTCTGGATCCGTAAATCCTGTAGAGGATGATGCTCCTAAGACTAAGTTGAAGCCTTTTTTCTGGGATAAAGTGCAAGCGAGCCCTGACCATTCAATGGTTTGGAATGAGATAAGATCAGGATCTTTCCAGTGAGTTTGAGCTTCCTCTTTCCATTTGTTGTTATCCTCTTGGCTTCGTTGCATTCTTATAGGCCATGATTTTGCTCAGACGAGCAAATGCGTGCATGAACAGAGGCTCATCAGGATACACTTTCGATGTATTTTACAGGTTCAACGAAGAGATGATAGAGTCACTATTTGGATATGCAGCTGGAGACAAGAATAAAGGTGAAAAGAAAGATTCGTCTTCCCAACCTGCATTACCACAGTTCGTTCAGATTCTTGAGCCAAAGAAAGCACAGAATCTATCTATTCTTTTGCGTGCTTTGAATGCAACAACTGAAGAGGTTTGTGATGCACTTCATGAAGGTAAGCTTTTCTCATTTTCCTTCTTTTTGTTTTCTTTTTCTGGGGAAAATAAAATTGGTTAAAGTTCGAGTAATATAATATCCATGCCTAAGATATCGTTGTTGTATCAGGTAATGAGCTTCCAGTAGAATTTGTTCAGGCTCTGTTGAAGATGGCACCAACAGCTGATGAGGAATTAAAGCTGAGATTATACAGTGGCGAATTATCACAACTAGGAGCAGCTGAACGTTTCCTAAAGGCGTTGATTGATATCCCATTTGCTTTTAAGCGACTAGAGGCACTGCTATTCATGTGTACTCTCCATGAAGAAATGACCTTTGTTAAAGAATCATTTGCCACCTTAGAGGTAGGTCTTAACAAAATTTATTCCGGAAACTGATTGGATGAGGGTAATTATGCATTATTGCAGTAATCCAACCACACAGGTGACATTGGGAGCGATGAATCGATGATGCTACTTTTCTTCACCTTTTGTTCTTGATTTCAAATGGGCGTATCAGATAATTTTGTTTCTTAGAGAGACGTTCAGCACATTCTTCCTTCATCTTCGTTTCGTCTCTTATTTGATGCTTCTTCCTTGATACATTTTGTAGGTTGCTTGTAAAGAACTTAGAAACAGTCGGTTGTTCTTGAAGCTCCTTGAAGCGGTTCTTAAGACGGGCAATCGTATGAATGATGGCACATTCAGGGGTGGTGCTCAGGCTTTCAAGCTGGACACTCTGTTGAAGTTATCGGATGTAAAAGGAACTGACGGGAAAACAACGCTCCTCCATTTCGTTGTTCAAGAGATAATCCGGTCAGAAGGCGTGAGAGCTGCTCGTACCACTAGGGAGAGCAAAAGCTTCTCGAGTGTGAAAACAGAAGATCTTATGGCTGAGGAAACTAACGAAGAGATGGAAGAGCATTTCCGCAATCTTGGTCTTCAGAAAGTTTCGAGCTTGAGTAGCGAGCTCGAAAACGTGAGAAAGGCTGCAAACATCGATGCAGATGGCTTAACGGGGACTGTTCACAAAATGGGTTATGCCTTGTCGAAAGCTCGAGATTTTCTCAAATCGGAGATGAACAGTTCAGGTGAAGAAAGCGGGTTTCAAGAAGCGCTCAAAGATTTTGTCCAGAGTGCCGAGGCTGACATCAAGAAGGTGTTAGACGAAGAGAAAAGAATAACAGTTCTAGTGAGAAGCACAGGAGACTATTTCCATGGGAAAGCGGGGAAAGATGAGGGCTTGCGTTTGTTTTTAATCGTGCGTGATTTCTTAATAATGTTAGATAAGGTCTGCAAAGAGGTAAACGACGCAAGGAGGAGGAAAACGAAGACGGCCCAGAAGCAGAGTTCAACAGCTTCAACTTCCTCTGAGACTCGGCAACCGCCTCCTTCATTAGATCCTCGACAAAAGCTGTTTCCGGCTATGGCAGAACGATGTCTAGACCAATCTAGCTCAGATTCAGACAACGACTGAAGCATATAATCTTCGTGGGGAAAGGTATCATCTTTTTGTGACATTCTCATCTCTGTTTTTTAAACCAGATAGGAAGCATTGGTAATGGCAAACAGTTTATTTTGATTAATGAAATGTTTCATGGGATTGAAGTTGCAGCAAAACAGTAACCGGGACATGTTGAGTCATAGGAATGGTTGATCCGTTAGTTCTTACAATACCTAAAAGGGTCAGGACACTGATATGATGATTTTTTTATTTGTCTATGCATTTCTAGTACACATTCTTTTACGAGAAAATTTGCGCAAATGTGATAATTTTGGAGAGATTGGTATAAACTATATATTTTGTTTTCTCGATTTGCAAATTATACCTTTATATAAAATTATGACAAAAATGTTCTCCACTTTATATTATTAAATCTCTATTGTGCCATCCATGAATTCCCTCTCTTTCAACACGTAATATGCGTCAATAGATGTAAATGAGGAATATATAAAAAAAAAACATTGTTTTCTCTGCAAGCACAGTTCTACGAACAAGTTTGAATGCAGAATTTGAGAAAGATTCACCAAGATAATCTTTAAAATTGTGATTATTTTGTATAAGATATCCTTCTTCGTCAAGATTTCAGATCGTATAATCTGCAACCGGAGTTGATTCCGACCAAATGTAAATAATAAAGCTTGATGTTGGTCGTCCAGAAGAGAATCGTCTATATTGGACGAGACTCGTTCCCACTGGAAGATCATAACTACCCAGGAGCTTTCCTTAAATTTGCACTACAAAAACTGCATGTATTGAGCCTTTATGTAGGTTTGCATCAATTTCATGTAGATCTAAGTTATCGAGGAACATATGCAATATTCCCAAAACCGTTTTGAGTTGTGATTGATCGGACAGAGACCTCTCTGTATGTGTAGAATAGATTATCAAGTTGTAGGTGGAATGATAAACCATTTTTTGATACTTGCGACTCTAAGCTATGGAGTGTGTTGTTGTTTTAGGATTTATTAAGTAGGAACTACTAACCCCAAGTTAGATCTCTCCCTAAAAACCGCTCTAGAAATATTGTTCTTTAGATTTGGCAATTTTAAGAAGAGAGAAAGTAGTGAATAAGCGATCAAAATGATATCCCAGCATTCCTCTAATACGCAATATCGTTAATGAAAATCATTTGAGAACACGAGTGATTAAAAAATCAACAATTCGCATTTAAGTTGTGAGTCGTCATTAGAGAAAAAGTAAAAAAGCAAAAACGCTCGTCAATTTCAATTCCAAGAAACGCGGGATAATATCGCTACAAAAGGAAAAAAAAAAAGAACAATAAGCCATAAACCTACCTATCCTAGGAAAAATCGGTAAATAAGTTTAGGAGAGTGTATGGAATAAGTGAATATTTCTGGAATAGTTTGCGAGAAACATATAAACCACACATCTAGAACGACTTAGTTGATGAGAGGATAAGTCGGAGTAACCTCGATCTGATTTTATTTCCATGAGCTAAGCCATTAATAGGCATCTTAATCTTAAATCCCATCGGAAACTAATTTTCAATTCATCATCACTACCAGACTTGGTTTATTACTCGAGGACAAGGCAAAACATTTAAATATAAAAGGATTTGATGGCTCGGATTTTATATGATATCTAGACGTAAATGCCTAGAGTTTTACCCGGTTTTACACATTCTTAGACATTTTAGTGTACTTTACGTTTTTATGACTTTGGTAGAGTTATGAGGGTAAAAAAGTTGGATTTCGGCACAAAACGAAAGAGTCAGAGGCTTAGATCAACTCGAACTGATTCTGGACCTCCCAGACTGCATCAACCACAATAGACAAGTTGCCCAGAAATGTAGTCTGGTCCGCACTAGGTATGGTCCGTCCGAACCGGACCAAGACCGAAGTTTGGCGATTTCACCGAGATTTGACCCAGATTGGACCAAGAAGTAGACCGAAGATCGATACCAGCCTGAGATGTAGGTTTGCATCAATTTCATGCCGTAGAGGCTTTTTTTGAACCGTGGAGGCTTTGTTTCATGCCGTGGAGGTATTATACGAGTCGTGGAGACTACGTTTTATGTCGTGGAGCTAGACTTTGTCCGAGGATCGATCTGTCATTGATATACTTTTCGGTTTGATTGTGATATTCATGGTTGTTGCCGGTGACTTTGCAGTCATATGATCCGATTATCTTTGATATTTCAAGTTGAATCGACGGATATATCCCACTTTCTCTAGGCGATATATCGGCTATGTTTTCAAGACTAACAAGTGTGTGTGTGTGTGTGTTGGTAATGAGTGACGTCATAGTTAGGGGGTAAATTAAACAAAGCAGACCTAAAAGGGCAAGAAAGTAAATTCAAGGATTAGGGTTCCCCTGCAGACTGTACCATTTGAAGAGAGAGAGAGAGAGAGAGAGAGAGAGAATCTCAGTCGGGGGGTGAGATCTAGAGTAATGATAATGGGAAATCTGAAAAACAAAACATAAAATAATGATATATATATATATATATATGTTTATATGTATGAAGATAAATAAATAAAAAAATAAAAGTGGTCCTTTTGAAGGTTTTCGTTGAAGGAGAAATTGAAAGCTTGTATGGAAATGGATAGATAAGGAAGGAAATGTATAAAGGCGCAACTAACAGTTTCTCTCTTTCTTTTTTCCTTTAAAATTTGGTGGTTAATTCTACGATTCTCTCGCTGCCATTTTCCCTCTCCATGCAGATCTTCACTGCTCTCGTGCATGTCTCATCGATCATATTTTTTCATCTGTCTCATTTAGATATGAAAGATCCCCAATTTTATATACTTGAGATCGGATCCTAAAGCTTTTGGTTCACTATATATATATATATATATATATATTCATAATGTGTTATGGAAGAAACTTAATAAAAAGTGTAAACTAACTAGACAGTGGAGAGAGTGAGTGGGTGATATGATACTATGAGTATGTGATAATAAATTTAGATATTTGTAGGTGATTTTGGATTCTCTAGTGGTTTTCTTTCTACGTTCTATCAACGAACACCTAAAATCACATGGCACATATATATAATGGACGACCAACCTTTAAAATATGGATTCCATACCATTTCCATATATACACCTATTGTCATGTGAAGTTATTAATTTAAATTGTATTCCCATACATCAACCAAAAAAGAAAAAACCTAATCTATTTTCGCCATGATAAGCTATTTTTATTTTATTTTTCTTCTGCGGGATATAGAAAAAAAAAACATCAAAGAACACTAAAAAAAAAAATAGAGCTCTAGTGATTCTACAGAGGAGACAATATGCTTCACGGATCCCGAGAATCTTTCCATGTCTGCCTAAAACCAGCAACTAAAATTACACACACGTATACATATACACAATCTCTTTCACACGTGCCAAACTACATAGTCCCTAGCCGCCCGATTTCCTCGAGTGGTCCCCTACCTGACACGTGTCACTTGGACCACCTGGTAGCATTTAGCATGATGCAAATCTATACTTATATATGTGTATATCTGATATCTATGAACAATATAACAATTTGTTGTAAACTTAATCACAGTTCTTTAGACGGACGATAAATTCAAAACTCTACGTAATAGCTTACAAATCACGTAAAATAGATAAATCTTCGAAAAAACGACAGATTTATTGTAAAATGAAATCGAACCCGTAATCTCTTTTAAGAATTATGAGATCTTTTGCCATTACATTAGGCCCCGAAGCACAACAATATAGTTCCTTCCAATGTTAATAGTTTCATTAATTAGTATCAGAGCCATTCAAATTGCTCATTAATCTTCTAGTGTGTGTATATATAAGTGTGCGCGGGTATATATACTGAAAACGATAAATATGCTTTTGATTCTCCAATCTCATCCTCACAACTATGCATGTGTGTTGGGTTGGTCATGCAAAATGGACTTTTTATATCCTATTGAGTGCAATATCTGTTTCTGTCTATCTTGTACATTTATTGTTTGAAAATTTTCTTGACTATATATGTTGCACCTCCAACAAATATATATATATATGTACATATGTAAATATATGGCAATGGATCTGGAAAAATGTTTCATTGAATACAAAACAAAAATATAATAAATATATTATATAATAAAATAGATAAAAGATATAAGTCCATTTTAACATACTTTATAAATTTAAGAAATTCAAACGAACGTATAATAGAAGAATGTAGAAAAATAAAAGAGGGTGATAGCTTTGTGGACAGAGGTACACTTAAACAAATTATATGTATTTCACAGAAAAGTTAGCTAATTAAGTAGCTATAAAATAAAAAATAAAAGAAAAACCGATTTTCCATAAAAACAAATTTGTCTTATTAGTGAGTCAAATGAAAGAATACATAAAAAGGAACTTGATTGAAGTAAAAAAAAACTAATGAATTCGAAATATAACAAAAAAAAATTAAAGTAATGTTATAATATTAACACAAATATTGATTAAAATAAAGAATAAAAATACATAATGAAATACAAAATTATAAGATTTGAAGCCGGTAAATTTTGTATTTTATCATTTCATCAATGAAATATAAATTCCAAAATCAACATTTTTCTAAGAAACAGTCATGTATAGAGAAACATTAATTTAATTAAAATATAGAATAGAAGACAAACAACAAATTGTAAAATAATAATAATAATAATAATAATAAATACGAAGTAATTAACAAAAATTAAAAATATATATTTAAAAAGGGGGTAGAGTAGGTAATATTGAAGAACCGGAGGAACTACATGGAAGCAGCTTTTAGATGTTTCTATAAATGATGGAGCCATCATTTCCGCCCTACTCCTTAGCCCAACTCCCTGTTTCACTCCTTTTTTTTCTCTAAATTTATAAGAATAATTTCAATTAATTGATATAACAATATATTGGCATATATTCCTATGAATTTAAATATATTTTGAAAACTCCATATAAAAAATTAAATTAATTCAATTATGAATAACTTAACAATTAATTGATATAAAAATTAAACTCCAATAACTTTCAAATCTTTATGTTTTACTTACAGTTGAAGGCTTGAAGTAGAGTTCAAGTTCAAGCTATGAATATGTTACACACACACACATATATATAACACTAAAGAACATATTTATTAAATGGTTTGTAGAGTTATAATGTATACCCATGTAATAATAATAATAATAATAATAAAAGAGGCAAAGGGTTTTCCCTGAAAAAAAAAGGGCTAAAGTTTCCTGGAAAATTAGATAAATTAGAAAGAATTTGAATTTTAATATGTATTCTTTCTACATACAGTTTGTGGGAAAACAAAGTATATGATTACACTATAAATATATTATATAGTCGGCCAGTTTTTCATTTTTAATTCTTTTTCTTCTCTACGTTTTATTTAATAACTTAAAAAAACAAATGGAAAAAGTCACTACTAATATGTAAGAAAACAAAAAATAATGATTAATAATTTGTCTTATCGTGTTGATGTTCTTTCTCAATGCAATGCATGAATGACACTCTTTGATTCTTCGTACATTAATTGTTTTCAGTTACGGAATATTTGTTGCATATTTTTATTTTTTAAAACCCGTAATTACATTGAATATATATATATATATATATATATTAGAAAAGTTATTTCGGAGATTAGTATGATAAATTCATCCATGATTGAATTAATTTAAAGGAAATCTAATTAAAAACAACGTTTTAGTTTCCAACAGAAAGATAAAAAAGAGGCCAAATTGATACCCACATTTTTATGTGCATTTATGACATATATGTATATATATATATGTATATGCATATTTAGAAATGCATGAACCAAACCAATTGTATGGTATGGAGGTTCATTTCAATTTTCAACGCGAGCAAAATATATGTAAAGAATGATTCTTTTGTACTGTGTTTATTCATGAAAAAAACAAATAAAACTGATACAGCAATATTAATTAACGTTAATAAACACGTTTAAATTTATTTAATTGGTCATTAATTCTGTCTAAGATTTGTTATGCTATATACTTACGAGTTAAGAATCGATGCTTAGAACAATTAAGAAAGGTAAAAAGTAAAAACAAAACAAAAGACACGAAATCCTCATAGAGTACATGTAAAATAACAGAAAAAAAAATAGACAGACAGCTACTTTGTCTGAGTATATGAACAAAAAACGACATACACACACAGAGAGAGCAGAAACAAGACACAGCTTCAGACCTCTCTGCCCCTCTCTCTCTCTCTCTCTCTCTCTCTCTCCCCC